ACGCCTCCATCTTGTGACCTTCCTGACTTCCTGGATCCCTTTGTGTAGCACTGACCCCAGAGGCCTCCTCCCAGTATCTAAGTCTGACTTCCTAGGTCACGTACTCTGTCTATGCATTAATCCCAGACGCCTCCTTCCTGTATCCGGTCCTAGCCTCCTACGTCACTCCCTCCCCCTTGGTGTGCTAAACTCAGACAGCCCCTTCCGGTATCTGACCCTACAATCATTGGCTAGTAAGCGGGCTGGGGAGGAGGGGCGAAGTAGGTACTTAGGAACGAGCGTGGTCACAGCTGGATAAACACACAGAAGGAAGAGAGTGAAATATATAAATAACATTAAGTTTGACATTCCTGAAGGAAACGTTAGCTAACATCTAATAAAAGAAAACACCCATCACAAAAAGCCAGCATAGTTCTATCAATGTCATGCCAAACTGATCTCATTTCAGTTTTAGATAAGGTTACTCAATTAGTAGGAGGATGTTATTGATAATCTAAATTTTTACAAAGAATATAACAAGAGTCTCATGTTATCCTTATAGAACTGGAGAGTTATGGATTGATCATCATTACTTGGTTGAGATAAACATAATGTCTTCTGTATAGTGCCTCAGGGATATATTCTTGGCTTTGAATTATTTAACAGTTTTATCAATGTCTTAGATGAAGGAATAGATGGTATACTTAACAAATCTGCAAATAAGATAAAGTTTGAAGGAACAGCTAATGTGCTGGGTGACAAAGTTAATATCCCAAAACACCTCAACATGTTGGATTGCTAGGCTAAGTCTAATAAACTGAAACTTAACAGCAATAAACCTCATACTGGGGTTTGGAAAATAAACTTTTCTAACATAATGGCAAAGTATGGCTTAGCATTTCTTTGAAAAAAGATATATAGATTTTATTATTTATCTTAATATGATTCAGCTGCATGATCCTGAATACACACAAGTATATGAATGTAATGGAATGTTATTGTTTATAAGAAATGATAAGCAGGTAGATTTCAGAAAAACTTGGGAAAATTTACACGAACTGATGCAAAGTGAAGTCAGGAGAACCAGAGGACATTTCATACAGTAACAGCAATATTGTATGATGATCAACTATGAATGACTTAGCTATTCTGAGTGATAAATGATCCAAAACAAAGGACTCGTGATGGAAAATGCTATTCACCTCTAAAGAAAGAACTGATAGAATCTGAATGCAGATCAAAACATATTTCTCACTTGATTTTTTCGTGTTTTTTTAATTTTGGTC